ATATTTACCACTGTTATATCCATAGTACATCTGATAATATACAGTTGTTGACAAGATGTATAAATATTATAATTATCATAAATATTACGAGTATCATGTTGAGTTTTAAATACAAATTACAATAGCAATTAAATTAGCAAGTATAAAATTGGAAACTTGAATAAAACTGTATAACAGTGACGATCTTGTAATATGTTGTTAGCTCTGACTAATTTACAAAAAATTTTAACTCGTTTAAAAATTATTAACAAATGAAATGGATCGTGTAAACATACGTATATTAAATAATTTTAGAAATTCTATATTATTTGCAACATATATACATGTTTAAGTAAATTATTGAGTACTCAATAAAATTATTCTATCTAATCAAAACTTTAGTTTAATTTTAAGAAGTAAATACATAAGTTTGGGTTAGATTAAGTTATTTTTTTTTAGTTGAAGGAGCATGGAACACTTTTTTGCTCCGTCACTCTCTCGTTGAAGCATATTTGCTTAAAAAAAAACAAATATATATATATTCAAATTGTTTTGTCAAAGTTATTAAAAAATAAAATAAAATATATTCCTTTTATTTTCTAATATAACATAAAAAATTTGCGAAAATATATACTGTCGAAACATAATATATAAGAAAGTGATTAACTTTGATTGTTGATAACTTTAATAGATAACAAACGACAGCTAAAACTTTTTGAAAGTTCCTTAGAGCTATTCACAACATTTGTCAAAATTATTTAAATCGATGAGATCGTCATTGCTATGTAGTTTTATCGAAACTTGTAAAGAGTATATAAAAACTTATTGAGATTCTTTTTATTCAGATTCCTGTTCCCTACTTTCTCTTATCAAGTTGTATATATATCTGTGATACGTCTTGTTAAAAGAGATCACGATTATAAATGTGCAATAAGTAGAAATACATGCTTGATAAAACGCATAAAGTTATGTTTATATTGTACATACGTACAAGTAATGTACGTATAGGTAATGTTTTACATTATACACATGTGCATAATTTTACTTCTAACATAAATTACACTTTTTATATCACGAACAAGGCACTAACATCAACATTGTTTTCTTTGTTCATGACATTCCAAATTTTTTATTATAACGGGATAAATAGATAATTTTACAAATCCGTATTGTCGATTTGTGACTACTAATAATTATAAATAAGATAATAGGTTTCGTAATATTATCTTGTTTTACTTCTCCATTGTCTATCAATTGTATTAAACTCAAGTTCTTATTATAGCCATATTCCGATATGTTACTATTGAAAATCTATAGTATACATAACATAAACTGTAGATTTTTAGTACTTGCAACGTATATCCGAACATAGCTTATATCATCTATGCTACGTTACATAAGATCAGATGCTATCATAAATGTGTACTGGTATATTAGTTTGTATGTTTCCAACATTTGTATATCGTTGGTGTCTATATTCATAAGAATACATGCATTATTAATTTTTATTCTAATATATATAATTAAAATGTCAACAAATATCATATCAGCGTGACAAATTTAGAATCATGTCATGCCTCTTTTTTGGAATGTCTTATCAGACTGAACCCTCCAATTACATTTAATATTTAAATAAAGTTAAAATTTCGATGTAAAAATTGAGCGGCGTTATTACGCAAGTTATATATAAAAAGCGGTCAATTGTAAAAATTAAAAGAATCATCTATAAATTCAATATAAAAATTATATATAAAATATGTGTATATATTTACATACATATCAAAAATTTATTCTACAAATGTGAGAGTACCGTAAAAAACCAAAGCGTAAGTAATGATTTAATAAAATTTCTATTGATAAATTCTATAACATACTGTAGTGACACGATGTATCACGATATGCACGTTTTTCAATGATAAATTATTTCACTTATAAATAATTATAAAAATAATTACATGATACAAATATAGAAAGTAAGTTTAGTAAAACCATAACTGAGATCCTTTACAGCTCAGATTTTGGTTTTACATCATTATTGCAATAACAATAGAACTGATGGTTGCATAGAACCATTTTATGAAGCAACATTGACTTGCCCCTGCCCATCGAAGGCCCGGATAGTTAATATTTGGCGTAGAAATTTCTGTAAATATCAAACATACGTGTATGTACAAATATGCATATAAAAATCAATTCAAGGTTTACAATCATACGATGTCTAAACTATCATTACAGCGCTACCATCCAGCCTTAATCTGTTGTCACCATTTTTGCTAAGTCATCAAAATTGATTACTATAGTCATTTTTTCTTCTTGACCTTATATGAAATTTAAAATTTTACATGTGCTTTTGTTATCTCTTTTAATAACAAATTCCTATTCGCTCACTGAGACTGTACTGGACACGTATTATGGAACTACTTAAAATAGATTCCGACTGTTCAATTATTTTCTATTATTTTTTAAAGATAAGAGGATTTTAAAGATAAGGGAATAATAAAATAATTTCAATCTTTTAGTATCTGATTACTCTGCATCATGAACCAAATGCTTAAATACAAATGACATGGCTGATAATCTATTATACTGTCGGAAAAAAAGATAAAAACGATCGTTAAATAATATACAAAAAAATGTTTATGCTTGACCTTTTGCAGCTCGAAGACATGGCTGCGTTCAAGGAATGTGCTATCAACGCTGTTACATCATTCTATTCTATCTTAGTTTTATGTCTAATGAACAATAAAGATAGAATGACATAATAATACATAATACTGATAGCACGATTTCTGAACGCCATAATCCATCCAACACTAAATTACTTGTCAAAGTTAACAATCGGCTGGGTCTGTAAAAAACTTATTTAATTTATCGTGCGTTAATTAAAAGACAATTAATTTCAAGGAATCAAATCGACATTAACTCATATAAAAAAGAATAAATATTAAGTAAATAAAAATAATCCAAATTTAAAGAAACAACACAAAAAAAATTTAATTATTTGATATTTTTTACGAAAAGATTTATAAGTCCACCGTCAACTACTAAGGATCAAAGATTAATAGATAAAAATATTAAGAGGGCAAATCTTTGCACAAAGACACTTTATATATCAGCGGCAGTCTGTCTGAAAGTCAGTTCTGGAAAAATCAGAGGAAAATATAAAAGAGACTGGAATTTTAAACTTTGCTCACAATTCCTTAAACTCTTATTTCATTTAATTTAATAATTTTTTTAATTTTTTTAATATTATGACGTTTATAATCAAATATGTTCAAAACTCGTACACTTTAAATGTTTAAAAAAAAAAAATTTTAATATATATTTTATTCAGTAATTTTATTTGATCACTTTTTTTCGTCATAACTGCATTCTTTTTTTCAATACTAATTTATTTTTTGTTGACTTGAATTTGCCCCCAAAATTTTATTATGCTATTAAGCTTCTTTTGCGTTTTTAATAATACAAGCTAATTTTCTTACAATCCTTGATTCTAAATGTTAAAAAAATTTTTTATATATTTTAATATGTTAAAATTTTATATTGGTCATGGAAATTTCCCATTTTTATCTGGAAAATCTGGAAAAGTTAGAGAACTTTTTAATTTATTTTCTGTGACAACCCTGGTCTGAAAGGTTATCCTTTGTCCCTTTTCCATTTCTATCGATGTATCGAATTTATCGAATTTATTTATTATGTTACTAGGGATAAGTCGAAACCTAATTTTTACGCCCTCGAAACTTTGCAAGATCAAAATTCTTTCGAAACTTTCGAAACTCGAAACTTACAAAATCTGAAATGTTAAGAAAAAAAGATGGTGCAAAAAAATGTGCATAAGATTTATAAGGTAATAAAAAAATTGTTAAAATGATTTATTTTCCATTAAAATATTGATAAAATTGTTTCTGCCAATAAAAATAATTGTATTTATCTGTTAAGTACGGATCGACACATTTTTAGATGTTGAAAGATCAATTTTTTTTTTTATAAAAGCGTAAATATACAGGAACTTTTTATGCGCAATTATTAAAAGGAATATTTTTGTTAAGAAATAAAAATGCATTATTTTTTTCAGAAATTCAGATTTAGAAAATCAGGTCCTAAATTTTTATTAAACATCATTTATACAATTCAGAGATGGAAAATTGTAGATAAAAATTATGTTAACTAATAATTATTTTTGAGTGTAAAAAAACCAAAACTAAAACTTTGAATTGGTTGAAAAGCAGATTATTTATTTGCAACTTTATCTTCACCAGATTTTCTTTACATACTAACTAGATTGCCGATTGCTCGTTTGTGTGCGTTATCTCTTCTACATGCTGTATCCCTCTAACGTGCTGATTTTATTGCGTTTCAAAATTAACATCTCTACCTAAAGATTTCGAGAGTTTCGATAAAAATAACGCGAAGTTTCGAATCCTTAAAACTTGAAACTTTTCAGAGGTTTGAGGATATCCCTAATTGTTATCCTTTCTCTCTCGCTACACTTATTTTATGAACAGCTGTCATTACATATTTTATATATTATCTAGGAATTATTTTCAGTATAATAATATGATTTTAATTGTATGCATTTATACGTATTTAGATATTTAAGCAAGTATAAAAATAAAAAATTAAAACTAAATACCGTGCGCAAATATTTAAAAAGAGTTATTGGCAAAAAAGTCATTATTTTACTTTTTTGAAGGATTGGTAATCCTAAAACTGGATAGTAGCGCTGTAAGAAAATTGTACGTGAAAACATGACTTACCTCGTTAACATTGTAATTAACAAAACTAAAATTACCAAAGGTCCGGAAAAAACTGGAATTACGCCAGTTCCCTGATGAGCTTGACCACAAGCTGGCGGGCAAACAGGGATAATGCTTTCTGTTGAAACAAAAGAGGGAACAAATCTAATACATGCTAGCTATGAAAATAAAAATCGACTAGCTAAGGAATAAAGATGCAAAATTGGAAAATAAGAAATTTATACTAACAAAAATATTAAAAATACACATTGATATAAGTTGAAGATTGAAAATTATAGTTGAGGTAACACGATGATCTACTATTTTCATGCAAAACTACTATTTTGATGAAAAGTTTGTATCCAAGATACAGATAGTAAATCGTTCCAATTATAGACATTGTCTACAGCTAACATATAATACACAAAAATACAACAGGTTATTTCTTTTTACATTTTCTTACCGAAAAGCTCGACTTTCGTTTCAACAGTGCCTAATTTGTTGGCTGCACGACATATGTATTCTCCATATTGCCGTTTTTCTATGGTAATAACTCGAATCGTTGTGTCAGTATATTCATCCGCGGTCGCAAAATGTGATATGCTGTAATGCTGATTATTTGACAACTGTACGTTATCTTTGAGCCAGATGATAGCTGGTGGAGGATATGCTTCTACGTGACATTCCAAATCCATATCGTATTGCAAAGCTTGTCCGAGTCGTGGCCTAGGAGCTGTGATTACTGGCGCGAATTCAACCTCAACGTTCATATTACGTCTAGCACCGCGTCCAACACCATTTTCAGCGATGCAGTAATACGTTCCGCGATCCTCTTTCCGTATGGCAGATATTTTTAACGTGTTACCACTGCAATGTTTGCAATACATAAAATATTGCCTGCTAAGTATTTAATAATGATAATAATTTATTTTAGTTATCATACCGATAGATCGAGCCTCCGGTGGGTAAAATAGCATTGTTTTCTCTGCGCCACGATATCCTTGGTGGTGGAAAGCCATTGGCATAACATTCCAATACGACAGGTTGTCCTTCACTAACCACCAGAGATTGAGTCGAGTTGTCGCTAATTATCGGTTGCCTACGAACTGATAATTCTACTTCTGCACTTACAAGATTGCTTACAGATATTTGTATTCTACATTGATAACGTCCGGCATCTGTTTCTTGTATATCTTTAATCTAAAACGTTAGTTATATATTAATTCCACATTAACAATAATATTTTAAACAACAAATGCCTTAATTAGGAACATTTCGAAATGAAATCTTACTTGTAAAGTATAAGAGCTAGACGCTGTGTCATGTTTAAGAGCAAATCTACTGTCTCTGATTATCAATGCGGTGCCAGTAGAAAGTGCGACTTGCTCGTTTGCTGAGTCTTTATTAACCTTTATCCATAAAACAGGATAATCCTGCGCATACTGAACGGAGCACACTAGTTCTACAGTTTCTCCAATATCCTTAATTTGTTCCTGCGATATGTAAGATATTGTCGGACTACGTTGAGCCGCAACTGAAACAACATGAAATTTATGATTTATCATGTACAGACTAAATCAAGCTGTATGGCTGTGTATTATTGAATAACAACAAAAAGAGATTTTCCAGTTCGAATATGATGTTATCATCGGAATGGTTGCGTGTTTCTGTGATGCGTGTGTATGGTGTGCGTGCGAAATTGTGTTCAATATTCGTATAAATATTCGTACCTGTTTGTAGAAACACGCATATCAAGGCTAGAATAACACGCCTATGCATTATGACACACCCAGCACGGTACTTTAGTCTCGATCCGGAGCGTTTAGCTGTTCCCTACAAAACGTTTATCGCTCTCGTTCTCGAACAAGGAATCCTTCCTCCTTTCTGATTTAAATTCAAACAAACATTTGATTATCGTGAAACGAGAGATTACGATCAGCACGAGGGAACGTAACACGCATAAACTTCTTCTCTGTAGGCGTATACAAACGCACAGTGTCCAGATAACCGTTAACTTACCACACGCTTGGTAAACATGGCGAATGATGCTACGTCTTTAGTCAAGTACGAGATGAAATCTTACTCTGTCACTAATTCATATTTCCACTGGAATTGTTGATATACCTAACTTAATTTAAAATCGCGATTGGTAATTACAAAACTGTAACTGATCGATATAACGTTTTACAAATAATCTCCATAAATTATTGACGCAATTCGATCATTCTCGCGATTGATTTGAACATTTGAATAATCTCGTTTAAGTTTACACTGTTTGAAAGTGCATCTTGCGAAAGTTTTTGAAAAAGAATCATAAAAAAGAAAATTTATACTTTTTACATTTCGATAAAAATTCCGAATATAATAGATTATATTATTTTCAATCCTATAACTTAACCTATCTATCGTTTGATTTTTATATTTATAGACAGGAAAAGCCTTTTGCTATATTTAAACATGTAAAAATAAAAATTAGATACACATATACTCTAGTCAATAATAATGAAAAAAGAAAAAATAGTAGAACAAAAGAAAATGTTTAAATAAAGATATCAAATATATTTTATAAATAAATATTATAAATAAATATTTTATAAATAACATTAATAAAATTTATATGAATCTTATAGTTAACATCTGCTTTGTATTAAATGATAAAATGTTGATTACATCAATAGTTGTCTGAATAGTTATCTGTTAATACACACAAATAATTGATCGATAATCTCAATTTATTATATAAACATATTTTTTATATAATATCAATTTGTAAAACTTGATTTTAATCTATATTTAATTTGAAAGTAATCTTAGATAATTCTAGTTCATCATAAACTTAAACAAGATTGTTTTTAAAAAGTCTGATAAAATCTTTATACATCTCATTATACATCTAATTCACCGATACAGGATTAACAATCAAGATAGTAAAGTAGCGTATGTTTGCTTAAGTAAACGCGAATTCAGAGAAATCAGTGCTGAACTCGTTCAATTGAAATGTAATCTTTTTTAATAAAAAAAGAAAACAATGTAAAGAAGTAATCTTCGGTTATTAATGTTTGCTCGATTGTAATAAAACGGCGAATATGGGTGTCGTGTAGACATGCGCGTTTTTATTCTGTCTGCGATCCATATACGAAACCGATACAACGATTCAAGTTCAAGCTCAAAAGAGGAGTCGATGATATGTTTAATGCGACATGTTATACACATGTTGTGTCCATTGGGTAACCATAGCAATTTCGAAAGCCTCGACATTCCACTGCTCGACCACTTTCACCCCCGCAAAGGGTGAAATCTTTCTCTTTGAAGGCGAAGGTAATACATACGTATACTTTCACAGAATGTGTGACTATATAGATAAGAGATATTATCGGGGGCAATACATATGTGACATATAAGTATTGTTCCTGTTGTCCTCTGTGGTCAGTATATCTCATACTACCGTCGCGAAAGAACGGTTCGATTGAGGACAATTCGTTCATATGAATTTGTTCTCTAATAAGTAGTTAAAAAAAAAAAGAAAAGTTTAAGAATGTACGCGTAAATTTCACCGTTCAATTTCTCATTTCTCTTCGTTTCAACTAATCAAAATTAATTAATTGTCTGCTGCGACAGACAGAGAGACGGTTTAAAAAGGAATAAGTAAATGAAATTTTAACATTAATTTGGAAAAATATTGTTAAAATTCAAAGTTATTAAAAGATCGAGTTGAAGGCGAATAGCGGTTAGCTATTATCCGTTGATTAATCCAAATGTGAAAAGTAAGAGAAATCGATGCAGTGTGAAATTAATACGCATTTTAATGATGGTCCAATATCATGTTCTGCTGCATAAAAACATTCTCGAGACGATTAAATGGATGAGGCTTTTTCGAAGTGTCTTCTCTCGTACCTCCATAAAAAAATTTCGAATACAATACGATCACTGTTTCTTTGAGCGAGGTTGATTCGTGCTCGATTCATAATTAAACAAATGTTCTTCGACGCGAGGTCACCGTTATCTAAGCTATCAATATTGATTGATGCTCGTTTTTTCTTGCGATTAATTATATAAGATGCGATCAAGAAAGTTCATTGAAAGTATTTAAAAGCGCTTCAATGGATATCTAAACGACACTTTAGGAAAATATCAGATTCCTGAGATAATTCTTTTGGGAAATGAATTCTTTCCTACTCATCGCCCTACGCAGATCGATAAATAATCATTGGATCAATCTTCATGAAAAATTGTTGTTTTCGACCAGAGAAAAGATGTTATCGGATCAATCGACGTTTCGAACATTATCCATCGAAAGTCTTCGCGAACGTATCCTAAAAGAAATTTGAAGAAATCAACATGGACGATAAGCTGCAAGTAGACGATGACAGCCAGGTATACTTAGCACCGTTCCAAAAATCGGTTTTGCATCCCGCGCATGTGAGAATATTTCTCATAGTGAGTTATCGTTTAGTAATATAAATATATATAAATACGTGAAGTACGACATCCCCAGAGAATAGAACGAGCACATGTAGAAAAAAATTAAACGAATGATAACACGAAACGTTTACATATTTATGAGTTCGCATTTTCAATATCTAAATAATTCATTTAAATAGAGAATGCAATGTATCTTAATGATAAAACAGTGTGGATTGATATCTCTATCATTTCATGAAGGGAGTATAAAGCAAAAAATTATTCATTATTTTAAATTTACATATGCAGGTTTGGGAACTATAATTTGTTATTTACAGTTAACATTAAGTTATTTGTAAAGTTACAGTGACAGAGCTATTTTATTAGTAATTGTAACTAACTTAATAATTACTTTCATAGAGTTACTTTTTATATTTTAAATTTACTCATCAACATACTGGCTGAAAATAAAGTGCTCAATGAACAGTCTGTAACTATTGCGTGTGCTTGGAATATACTTTTATCTCTGATACTCGATGATAATAAATTTTTTATAAGAATGTATATCATTACATTTAAATATAAATAATAGCAAATAATATATGTACGAAAAAAGGTTCACATATGTTTCTTTTTTTCAAAACTATTTGAAAAATATAAGAAAAATAATATTGTAATAATCTTTACGAGATATTTTATATTTCATTTTAAAATGTGTCTGACTAAAGTATAAAATCTTATAAACTCTTATAAAATCTTATAAAGTCTTATAAACTATGATTTTTTTTATATTCCCACTTTAATACTTTTATATGCAAAATAATTATAGCAATCATGTTATTGAGTTGTCCGGAAAGTTCGTGCCGATGTTGAAGGAAAATTGAAACGCAGAAAATTTAAATTTTAATATACATTTATTAAATTATATAAGTTAGTCGGCACGAACTTTTCAGACAACCCAATAGATAAAAAAATCATATAATTCTTATAATTTAAAAAATCGTCATGACCTTTTCACATGACCATAATAAATTGATTTTTTTTTCGAAAATTAAAATTTTATCATTATTTGTCCTCTTCAAACTATATAACTTTTGTGTGCATTTAAGACATTTTTCTCCAAAATAAAATAAAATAAAATAAAATTTTGAAAGATACTATTTAAAATGTGGGATCTCTATAGGATATAATTATATATGAGCAATTTTTTCTTATTTCTTTTTCTTATAATAAAAAAAAGAATACAAAAAAGATTCTTTTAATTATTTTTTGTCTTAACAAACAATATAATTTTACAAAAAAAAAAAGAAACATATTAAGAAACATATATATATTATATAATTTATTTTATGTATTTAAATATATTTTTAAACGAAATAAAATTTTTTTAAGCTAAAATATAATTATCACATAATATTTGTAAATATTAATATTAAGCGAAAAGTTTTTTTGTATGAATATGTCTTAATATTGATTTTATAATTTCGATTCAAAATATATGTATATATTAATTTTTTAGAAATAATATAGCGTATGACTGAATGTTTAAGTATAATAAGTGAAATGATTTAACAATTTTAGAATATAAGATTTTTGTATTTAAAACAATAGTGCAAAAATTACAAAAATTTATTCGAAAAGTAACTGAAAAATAATAACATTAGTTTCTTTATTATAGTTTTAAAGTTATTATAATTGTAAAGCCTAAGACATAATTGGAAGCACAGGCAATAGGAACAACTGGAAATAAAAGATTTTAATCTATCAGAAATTGTGTATAGATGCACAGTTTCTGATAGATTGAATCTATCTTATTTCTTATTTCTATTGCTTGTGCTTTTCAAATGTCTCAAATTTAACGTGTTACTTTTTAAAATTAGTACTTGTAACTAGTTACATTTTGAAATAAAGAATTATAACTGTAACTAGTTATTTTTACAAAAGCTACAATATTTACTATCAGTGCTGAAAATCTGTAGTGCACATAACGCAATAGATTTTCAGTATTGGCAGTGAATATTGGAACGTACCTAAAGTAACTTTCTCATTTCTGTCTATATGTATAGATTCGCCGAATCTAATTACTAATATAATCAGCGTAATCCTATTCCTTTTCTGCTACGTAGTACATTAGCAGAAATGTTGATTTTTAAAAGCGATTAAGGCCGGTATCGATCCTCTGATTGAATTTTATTCTTCGCTAATTCATTTCTATCTTTCGCTCGTATCGTCACTGATTCCATTAGATATATAAGA